TGTATCATCAAATTGATGAACAAATATAAGAAAGCTCTTATGTACCTACATGCAGAGGTTTTTTCATGTAAATTTACTAGGTATCATGATCATAAGCATCTTTGGTGGATTGTTTGATCCGGAATGGGAAAGATCTCCTATTTATGAAAATATTTTTGGTATCATCTAAACGTTGCAATCAGTGCACAAACACTGTGACATATGATTTATAGGATAACCCGCTGCCCTATCAATACAAATTTAACATACAGGTTGCCTAGCCGTGGGGATGCAGTGGTCGGGATGAATATCACGGCAGCAACTGATGATTTGGGCATGAGGGCTGAAGCTTTGTCAAAGTTCAAACGTGATCGTACAGCCGCCTCTTGGCAACAGTATACATATTTCAGAAATCGTGCATTAACGCTCGTGCGAAGAGGAAAAAGAGATTATTTACAAGCTGTTCAAAATCAGGATATAAAAAAGTTTTATAAGACCCTAAAGACTTTCAAAGTACAATCTCAGAAAGATTCTACAATTCCTGTGAGCTTGTCAGATCCGTATAAAATAAATGAGGCATTCATTTCAATTTCCGAAAATAGTGATTTGGCTTGTGCTGATAAAATTGCATATTACCGAGCTAATAAAAATAACTCAAAATCCAAATTTCAATTTAATAAAGTGACTGTTGACACCGTTGTTAAAATTATACATAAAATAAAATCAAATTCTAGTGGTACTGATGATATAACTTTGCATATGATACTACTATGTATACCTGAAATTGATGTGTACTTAACGCATATTATAAACTGCTGTTTAGAGAGAGGCTATTTCCCCAATCAGCGGAAACGCGCTATAGTTATTCCGCTAGTGTTCTGATCCTACTAACTATGGTCAACTGAGACCGATCAGTCTACTGCCATTTTTTCTAAAGTTTGGAACGCGTTGTTTACGAGCAGTTCTGCGCCTACTTATATTCTAACAAAATTATTCCATCTAAACAATCTGGATTTCGACAAGGTCATAATACAGCTTCGGCACTCTGTGATTTAACAGACAATATAACAATGGCACTTGATAACCAAAAAGCAGTAGCTCTCATACTTCTTGACTTTACTAAAAAATTTGACACCATTAATCACTCATTTCATGTATGTACTATGGATTTTCTGAAAAACCTCTTTCGTTTATTCAAACCTACCTTGAAAATCGGTATCAAAAAGTTCGTCTAAATCAACAGTACTCTACGGAACAAAAAATTTGTTCTGGTGTACCACAGGGATCAGTATTAGGACCGCTATTATTTTCATTATATATTTCAGATTTAGAAACAGAGGTAAAATCATGCAGCATACACTTTTTTGCAGATGATACTCAAATTTTCTATTCATTTAGGAGTAATGACTTGGAAACGGCAAATAATAAAATTAATCAAGATCTTGCCCAAATTGACAACTTCAGTAGTAGTCATAATCTTCGTTTGAACCTTTTGAAGACACATATGTTGGTATACGCAAATAGAACAAAAAAGAATACCTTAAAAAAGGACCTAGACATACATTTAAAAGGTAATAAATTAATTCCTGTGGATCATTCGAAAAACCTAGGTATTATAATGGATGATGACTTAAAATTTGTTGCACACGTGAACTATCTAATTACTCAGTGCTACGCTATTCTCAGAGTTTTATTTGCAAATAAGACTATATTACATAAATCTGCGAGAAAGCAATTGTGTGAATATTTCATATTTTCAAAGATATCGTATTGCTTAGTGGTTTATTATCCCTATTTAGATATTATAACAAGAAATCGTATTCAAAGTATTATGAATACATGTTGCAGGCTTGTAAATGATCTCAGAAAATATGATCATATATTGAATGCCATTAATGAACTCAAATGGATGAAAATTGATAAAATGTATAAGTGCCAGCTCCGAAATCTGACTCATAAGGTTCTTTATTCAAAAACACCGTCATATTTAGTAAACAAATTCATACGTAGAGGGAATATGCATCGTATAAATATTAGATATAGAGAGACTTTTTAATTCCACGCCACAGCACGTCTCTATTTCAGAATTCATACATTTACAATGCGATCAAATCATATAATTCTTTAGACCGCAGTTTAAAAGAAACCAATCCATTATCCAAATTCAAGAAAAAAGTGAAAGTCCTTCTTGATCAGCAGCGAAATCGGTTGTAATCCATAAGTGTCCTCATATTTTCCTTATGTATTTACTTGGATTATTCGTTATTGTATACAGGTGCCTATTAATTTTCAACAAACTCTTTTTTTTATTTTTTTTTTACATCTCGTATTGTTAAGGTGGTTAGATGGTAGAATAGATATATAATCTAAATCTCGCCTCCTGTAAGAATATTACAAATAAAAGACGTTTATTATTATTATGTCTGGTAAGAACGTATGAAGTGAAACTCGCTAACTTCACAAATTTGAAGATTTTGTACAATTTCTTTAAAAATGATGAAAGAGCTATTTTGCGGCGTCATGGAAATAATTTTAAATTTCATTTGCATTTTTCAGGTGTTGTGCAATGATTTTGGGAAAAATGTCACGAATAGTCTTATAACGCATAGTAGAGTATATTTCAACAGTTGGTGGAACTTACTCTATCGGGACCAGGAGCGTGAAACGGGATATTAGTGCACAATCTGGCAACACTATCGCACCCTCACAAAATGGCCGCTGATAACCACACAAGTCACGTGTTGTCATTGAATAGCATGGAATTAAACCTTCAGAGTATAATATGTTTTGTGAATGGTACCAAGAGTTGACAGATCCAACACATGTGTCACTCCTTGAAATGCAATAATCAGAGGTATTCAAATAATGTCTAATATAAATACAACCGAGATAACGTAAAAACGATTCAGTTCATATTTTTTAACCGTTCCAATACATTCCAGTGATCGCAAATGTATTCTCCCATCACTAACATTATGAGACACTAATTTCAAATGTCAATTCCGATCTCCTTTGGTCTATTCTCCTTCTCCGACGTCACTGTATATTCTATGTTTTGTGATCACTTGTTTTGTTATGTGTGGACAATGGAATTTTTTAACAACAAATTTCCATATAAAAGTGCTCCCTCCAAGATTTGTGAAGAAATACATATTACACTGTCGTGTACACGTTAAATCTGCACTAACCCCTAAATACGTGGTTATGTTGAATGTACCATGTACCGTCACCGATGGTGCGACTGAATATACACTGAAATTAAAACAAAAAACTGCAATTGTATGTATGAATGTTGAAACCGTTGAACAGTTTCGGACCAGTGGGGTTAAAATATCGTTGAGGAACTGGAAAGAAGTGTATGAATGTGTTGAAATGCAACACCTAACAAAAATTTGAGTGAAAAAGCTTTTTCATGTAAGGATTTGGAAGTGCAAGTTTGCAATTGTAGGATAAACTATAAGCACACAGTAGGTGATATAATCACATATGGATTACAAAAATTGCAATAAACATGGAAAACCTTCAGCTAATCTAAAAAAAAGATTTTACTCAGACATCAAGCATTTTTAAAAATTTTGCCTCAGTTTTACATAATATTTAATAAACTGAAAAGATTTCAATGGCAAGCTGTCACTTCATATTTTACAGTGTTTTGTTTTGAATACCTTGATGCTATTTGCTGCCAAAAATTTGACGGAGAGATCTTGAGGCTGATTGGGTATATTTATCGGACTGTTTGGTACTCGTACCCTATTGGTGCAGAATAATGGTTTGTTAAATTGTGAAATCCACTCTTAGAGAGCTTTCTAGAGAATTTCTTTGCCAAGTGCATGACACTAAATTTGGATTTAGTAACGTATCTCTGAAGCGGAGTGGATTTGATTCTTCCAACGTCGGATCCAAACCCTATCGATACAAGCAGCAATTAATGTTATAGAACACGTTTTGTTATGTTAACAGTTTTTGCTCCAACACACAGTCACGGACTCATTGACTGATTGACTGTTTGGACACTGCTGTTAGTTTCAACTAGTTCCGATCTGATATTTTGGACTAACAACGGTCGTTTGAGCCAACTAGATACATGTTAGGCTGATAATAATTGAGATGAGATACAGTTGAAGCCTAATAAGTTATACTTACTGGCTTTCAATCTACAGCTAAGTAGAAACACTTCAGTGATATGGTTGTTGGGTGCCTAAGCATCTTTCTGCCAATAGTACAATGTAATTATGTTATTGAGGATAAGCGAGAAGGTCCATCGAGGATACAAGTGTATGCAGGGTAACTATTTTTTTTTATAAAAAGTCAAAGTTGGAAAATCACTTTCCATTGTATAAAAATATAAAGAATGAAAATGTCGTCAAAGTGAGACCTGAAATCCAATGTAACGGTTAATTTATTATTACAAAAAATGGCGTCAAGTAGGATGACTCTGTATTTACCAAGCAACACTATCATCAGATCATGAAGGACTATGTTCAGCAAAAGTTTGCCCTTCTTCAAAAACTTTTGGAGGCAGAAACGCTTTCAAACAAAGTTCTTCTCCTCGTGATAAAAATTCCTACGGGCGCACATGATCGTTGCTATAACCATTTTTTTCGTATTTGGCCTTCTTCTCCGCCTCCACTGGATCCACTGCAAAGCCTTAGGAACCCTATGTGAAAATTACATCCAATGGCGACGGTAAAAAGTGACATAAACAATTGAAATACGTCTGTTGCCTTTTGACAGCCGTAACTATGATCCTCACCTCGGAAAATCTGATGAAATTTTTGTCAGTAATGTCAGATGTAAATGTTTTGCATTGGAGGGAGAATTTATCTTGTATTTACCCTGTAGTTGTCACCTAGATTTCCTGAGAATATGGCCTGGGAATCACTGTATCGTACGTGCTTCACTTAAAACGTAAGCTTCTTACTGATTTTTTAGGCATTTAACAAAAAACAACTCAAGAGCCAATATTTTGGTTATACTACGGCGTAACATAAGGTATTAAAATGCTCTTCTTTTTGTTTCAGGAATCCTCGCCAACTTTGACGCTCATATCGTCAAAGGTAAGCAGGCCATGCGACCGCAGCGTGGTCCAATCAAGGTGTGTGTAACTGTGTGCATTCACAATCACGATTTATGCTAAAAGAGCGATCTTGCTTATGGGGTGGCGCTGCAGCTCATTTTTATCAATTTCTGATCTAAGAATATTTTAAAGTACTAACTGAAATGGTAAGGTTCTTTATAGCGATGATTGATTCGTAGAGATCTCAGGTTTCATCTTCATCATTTTTTATAAAAATACCCTCTTCTGAAAGTGAAAAAAATCTGAGTCTTGCTTGATACCGTTTATACCGGGTGCTTCAAATTCGACACTCACCTATTGGGATTCCTGAAACAATAAGAGATACAGTTGGTTAAACGGGCGCAAAATTGTTCATTCGGGTATCTAAGAGATAGACGAAAGAAATCGAATTTGCCCAAAATCGTATTAATTTTTCGTGACTTTGTTTTCCTAAAATAAAAAGTACATTAACATTGTCACTTCAGAATTCCAATATGGTGTTTCGTCTCTTAGACTTTTGCACAAGTGAATATAGCTTAATAGTTTTTCTCAGATCAAATCACCAATGCGTGAGAAGCGTGATTAAAAGATACTCAGATAATTTGCCCATCCATTGACTATAACAAGCATTATTTTAGGACGACGGAGGCCTTTTACATGACAACTCAGCCGTAGATTAATAGTATTTGAATGCAAGATGCGTGCATCGGTTTAGATACAGTAGATATAAAATATGTTTAAGAAGCTACACCGTCGAGGCATTTATTTACTCCAAAATGCTTTAATCAATTATGTAAAATAATACTGTCCTCAGTGCTTCCAATACGATCCTTAAATGATCTAAACAATTTTTTGCATTAGGTTGTTCTTCGATCAGCTAAGTTGATCTATAGGAAGCTTGCTTTTTCTTAGATATTGGTTTTGTAATTTGAATCCGTGTCATGATATTTACTGTATGACATCAATTATAATCAGAAATATGGACTGTTCACCTACCAACCTTCCTCATAAAAACTGAAGGAATGCTATTATGCAACAAATAACTATCTGGTAATTTCAATTCCCACTTGTACTTGGGAATTTATGTTTTTTTTAAATAACAAAAATTTGGCGATGTCAATGTAGAAGCATACTTTCACAATCAAAATTATAAACTTTATTCACTTGCTTAAAAATTAAATATGCCGTCTATAAGAAGAAAAGAGGATGATTGAGAACATGAGACGAAATGCCGTATTGAAATAATAATTATGTCATATTGTAAAGGATAAACGTGGCAATGTACTTCTTATTTTGAAATCCCATCTCACACGATTTTAAGAAAATTAGGTTTCTGTCGCCTATCTCCGGAAATTTTCTAAATTAAGAAACTTTCTGAGCAGCATTTAATTGACGACCTAAATACGCAACTTTGCCCTTACTTGGCTGACTTCATATCACTCACCGTTTCCGAGACCCCAATGCTGAGTCGAATTTGACAAAATCGTATATACCTATTAAATAAATGACAATTAAGTGGTTCCACCCTGTAACATTGCAGCTACCCACCACTTGTTATGCTCACTGCGTGTCTGCATTGTGGTTGGTCTTTATTTCTCATTCAATTAAATTCTAGGCATAAATAAAAAAAATCTTGAAGAAGTCTCTCATTGGTCCTTCCTACTCGAATGCAACACCTACAAAACATATAGAATATAGTAGATATAGTCAATTCAACTTTGTAACGATGTAAATGACAATTTCTGTAGTTTTATCTATGCCTAGAATAGAAAATAATGCACACAAAGGTCGATATTTAACACAATCATGAGAAAGCTCAACTGAGACTCTATGAACATGTGGACTCACATGCAATATTAGCTATGATATCTTTTCTGCAGCATCGGAAAATAATTGTTAAAATACATTTATGTAAACATAGTACATAAAACTTATTCCTGAATAAGGCTCCGATATACTTGATGCGAAGAATGATTTAATTTATAATCTAATTTCCGAAAGTAGATCATAATGGTATGATTGCTCAACTTTGGTTAGGTTACACCTGGATTCAGCTAATTTTTCGAAATTAGGAACTTTTATAGCACAGTAATCAATTCTTTCATATCTGAAGTTTTTCTCATGCAGTTGTTACATACAGTGTGAGCCAATTTGAGTATCTATTTCATTGTTCACAAGTTTCTAATGCAAACAATACATTTTTAATATCTCAATGTGGAATAGAAAAATAAATATCGACCTATATTTTCAAACAGCACTGTACATCTTTTGCACGTAAGATTGTATGTATCTCTTATTGCATACATTGACAATGGTGTCAAAATTGACATCAACTTCTGCCTCACACGTCATCGAAGTATGGATATTTGACATCAATCTCGAGAGGGGTAAATGGCTACGAAGTTTCTAATGCATTGTTGGAAAATCTATCAGAAATACGCAAGCACAATACAAATTACACATTCAGGAAAGCAAAGCCTTCCAGCGTTTAATATCAGTAGTTACTTAATCTCATAAGACCCCGCAAAAATCTTAAGGAGAATGGCTTTTAGCTTCAGTATGTTGTCGATCTCAACATGTATTATTTGTATAGAACAAATGGGACTAAGTATTTGGTTTCCGAGATACAGGGCATCCAAGTTGCTCAGTTGGTCAGTACCTTATTACAGTGTCTTAACGTTCGGTGCAGTTTGATATTTATTCACATTCTTACCATCATCCCTACTAGTCAGTCCACCAACATTGCAATTCTATCGCGTGTTCAGGCTAGCCAAAACTTATGAAACTCTGGTACAAAAACAAGCTTTTTCATAAACTGTTCAGGATTATCCTGCACCGTCCCTATGAGAAGGCTGCTCAATATACGAGGTGTCCCACACTTGAGCTGCATATCAAAGTTGTTTTCAGATATTATATTTTTTGGATCATTTCCTATCTCTCGGTCGGTTTGGCAAAAGCCCATTGATAACTTGGAAAGTGCTGCTCGGATTTGGAGGAAATGTTCACGTAAGGTTACTACTGTGCCAAGAATGAAAAAGCTTTATGAATTTTAAAAATCGATTCAGTGGCGGAGCAGCTGCGGCCAATAAATTAAACAAATAAAAATCGCTCAAGCTTTGTCTTTTAACGGCGCTTGATGATATATATATAGGGGTGAAGGAGGCTTTATATAAATTTTTTGACCTTGGCATATTTATACGCCTCCAACCCGGGGGGTAATTTTACGCACCTATGAGTCTACACATCCAGTATACCTTAAGGACATTCAACCTTTAAGCATAAGATATCAACTACCTCCAAACGTGCCTTCTTATTCAACAAGTTTTACGTATGAATCACTTACTAATTTCAACTAACTTCCTTTAGAACTTAAACAATTGCCGGTACGAAAATTTAGGGTACCGCTTAAGCAATATTTGTATGATAGACATATGTAAACTCTAAGAGTTGCACTAAGGTGCATCATAACGGGTTGACAAATAAGATAAGTCAGTTTGTAGAGTGAAGATGAGTTTGTTTATTTACCATTTGTATATTTAAAATCATTAATTTTAAACCCGGCCGAACAGAATCCTTTACGAATTGATGACAGCGTAGGCAGTTTAACGCCATTTTGTTGTCTCTTTCTAATCAAGTTTAATTTCTGAGGAAATTTAGATTTGATTGGTGGTCTGTAACCACCCAAAACTAATATCATCGACTTCATTGAACACTTCGAGGAGACACTAACACAATTCATAGATATGAAGACAATTTGTGGCGGTGACTTCAATGTTGATGCTCTTGACTCTTCAAATCGTTATTGTACTATGATTTATGATTGTAATGAAGGTTTTGATCTAGTACAGGTAATCAAAGAACCTAATAGAGTTACAAAAAACAGCCTAACCTTGCTGGACGTAATTTTTATCTCTGCTGATGAGACTGATTTTACTGTTCGTACAAAAAATACGTCACATATTTCCCATCATTCGTTAACCTTTTGTATACTAAATAAATCTGTTGCAAATTGTTCTAAAAAATGCAGCTTCAGAAACTTGGGAAATCTAGATAAAGACCTGCTCAATGAGATTTTTAAAATTTCGAGTTTCGAACAATTGATCTTTTTTGCAAAAGTTGAGGAAAAGGTCTTATTTTTGAATGAAGTGTTTGTTCAATATCTTCGATGTACTAGCTCCTATAAAGCAAATTCAATTTAAAGTTTGAAAACCCCCATGGTTAACGTTTTCTATTTCACACATGATTAAACTAAGAAACAAAAAATTCCGGAAATTTAAGAAAAACAAAACTGCTGCCAATTGGGAAAATTATAAACAAGTACAAATTCAAACAAATATTGCCATATATAATGAAAAGAAAAGTTATTGAAATACTGTATTGGAAAAAATTAATAAATTCAAATATTAGCAACAAAAAAACAGGTTGTATTCGAGATCAGCTGAATAATCCGGATGACATAAATAACCATTTTCTTCAGATCTCTCGAGCAAGCCCATCAATAGACTATGACACTTTGGATTACTATTATAGCAATAGATGTACTAACGTCAACACTCTTTTTGAATTTCAGACAGTTTCTCAGGATGTCGTTAAAGATGCACTTCTCAGAATTAAATCATACATTTGTATGCTGACGATACTCAGCTTTATTCTTCTTTCAATCCTAACGAGAAACGTGATGCATTGGCCATTATTAATCGAGATATTGAATGATTTGTATTTTCGGAAAATCATGGTCTACAGATTAATGCAAGCAAATCACAACTCGTGTTATTTGGCAGATTGAAAGACAATATTGAGCCCACTTTTCATGTCAAAATAAAAAGTGAATATATACGTTGTTCTGCCACTGTGAGAAATTAGAAAATAAATTTGGGAGTAGAATTTGACTCATATCTAAGATGTAAGCCTCATATTGATATGATTAATAAGCTTATGCTTCTCTAAAAGTTCTATATGCTTATCGATATGTCCTCCCTGTTAAACTTAAAACATTGCTTTGTGGAGTACTAGTACTCACCAACCTTAATTTTTGTAACAGCGTTTATGGGTTTTGATTAGACAAGATTGACATGGACAGAATTGAACGTGTACAGAAGTCCTGCCTACGATTTATTTATGGTATACGTAAGTTTGAAAGAGTTTCAACATAAGTTGCTTGATGCAAACTGGTTGAATATGCGATGTCGATGTGAGTTGCATTCATGTAACCTTTTCACAAAATTATGTTTTTTAAGCAACCGCCATATTTATTCAATAGAATAACTTTTCGCATCGTTGTCCATAACTCTAATTTGTGGTTTCGGTACTACATATCACCTCCTCCTCATCAAACTTCTCTTTTTTGTAGATCTTTCTCATACAACATTTACCGGCTTTACAATCAAATTCCTAGTGACTTTGAAATTCGGTGTCCAAACCAGTTTAAAATCAAATATAAAAAATGTATTTTTGAAAAACACTTCAGCGCTCATTAATGAAAGAGAATTTTTTTTTTGTACGATAACTCTATTATAAATCTATTATTCGAGGCTTTATAAGGTGGATCTTTCTTTATATATATATATATATATATATGTATATATGTGTATGTATGTATGTGTATATGTATATACTATATGAATCTGTAATAGGTAAAGGGCTGAACTTGTATCATTTTTAAATGCTTTCAGCCCTTTTTTGTAACATATCTCATTTAAATGTATTTTGCTACTATTTGCACCTAACTGTAAATAAACATTATTACTATTATTATTATTTACCTAAGGTACTCTTATGTTTTGTAGAGTAGAGTCTATCTTAAATAAATAAAGAGAAATAGATTTTAACCAGAATTTCTCTGATATAATATACCAGCTTCAGCGATGAAATGTTCCTATCGATGATATAGACAACACACAACACAACATCCATGGCACGAAATTAACTTCCGGGGCAAAGATTCGAACCCGCGAGCTCCGGGTTGCCAGCTCGACGCGCTTTTTCCACGTTCACTGAGGTGCGAGGCTAAATCCTGGATTATATCTGAAGCTGTACACGTAAAATGTTGATAACGAACGATATATCGAGTGGAATAGAAGCAAACTGATAATAAAACATTTAAGCGAAAAAAAAAAATAAACATCAAGCTGTAACGGAGTCGATTGATATGTCTGTTAAATATTTTGTACAGAAAAAATCGTCAAGTCATCGCTACCCGCAGTCAGTGGTCTTGCCGCAGACACGTTTCAGCTTCATCATTTTATCACTGGCTACCTTGACGGACATGTTAACAAACACAATTCGCGCTTCTATGGAGATAGGAAGTGTGATAATGCCAGTGTAGAGAGTACAGGGTGTGTTCAAGAAATAAGGCATCACCATATAAATCATGGGCCTGATCAGATATTCAAAGCTCTTGAAGAAGGCGGAGGTACAACCCAGCAGGGTTAACCTTATTTCCAAAAAAGGCCAAGGCTCTCCTAGAATGGATTTTTGTATTGACGTTCAACTGAACAGTTGCAAAACAAGTACATAGTACTTTATTATGTTATTTTTTTTCATATACACAGTTGAGGAATGTTATCGCGAATAGGCATATAGATTATAGAGAACCTTTTAACATACTCATAGCAGGAATCGGAATACAGATGGGATCTGGTCACAGTTTTCTGGTTTCAGCAGCCCTTTCTGCAAGTTTATCAGCTGTTGTATTAAACATAGACTATGATTGACCCTTCACCGAGGCAATAGTTAATATATTAATCTATATTCACTTATGTTAAGAAATGTTGTTTCTTTTGCTTTCTGAGGAAATGCTTACACATGCCCACTGTTGCGAGGACCGAATGTTATTCGTGAACAAATACTTCAAATAAGCCTATTCACGAGTTATTGTAATAGATACTTGGGAGCACATATCAAAAATATTCACCATTATACAGGGTGTCCCAATTTTGACTCAGAAATTAATATTGATTTATTTAAACGGAATGCTCTACTGTTTATTACATATCCGGATAGGCCCTTTCAAAAGAAGAAGATTGACTTCACACACTAATTGAATCTATTTATTAGTTAGTTAGCTATGTACTTTTTATTTTGGAATCCCATCTCAAATAATGTTAGGAAAAAATAAAAACGAGTTTGGGGAAATTCGGTTTATTTCATCCATCCCCGGAAATGCTTGGAATTGCGAAACTTTCTCAGTGCGATTTTCTATCTCAACTTAAATACGAAACTTTACCCCCATCTAACCGACTTTGTATCTCGTACCGCTTCCGAAACCCCAGTGGTGAGAGTCGAATTTGAAACAGCCGGTACACTACCGCCAAATAAGTGAGATACACCCACTTTTTTTTACCTCTCAAAATAACCTTCAGAATTGAGCTAGAGCCTCTGGAAATTCAAAAAGCGCAGTTTGAGCGATTTTTATTTTTTCATTTTCAGCATCTACCTTGTGTGGAAATCTCATCAAAATTGAAGCGGTACTGTCCAAGGTATATACAAGACAAGGATTAGCAGGCGGACAAACAGACCGACGAAGAGGAGGTACATGGTTTTTCGTGGTGTACATGTCCAAAAAAACTTGATACTTCATTTTAAATTTTTTCTCAAGCACAATACTTCAAATACAATACCCACACAACAGAAACAAAAAACTTTGGGGTTTCAAGTGCAAAGTCATTTTTGTCGTAATTATCACAGAAAATAACAGTATTGTTTTCCTACGCAAATGTGAGTTCTACAACCAAATAATAAGTTTCTTCTTGAATACATACTTCTGTTTATGGCATATCAATAACGAAATTACCTTGTTTTCCTGCGGGCTACATTACATGTGCATTACTTCTTCAGATTGTGAGATATTACCTATAGTGCGTACGGTATAGCCAAGTTAAAACTGTGGTCAAACATAGAAGAGCGAAGTACTGTTAATTTTCGCAGTTTGACTACATTTATTCTAATCAAACCTCGAAATGACCAATATACTTGTGAATATGGGTCTTGAATCAATAGATTCAGTAATAACTCATTAACATTTTTTTCGAGGACTGTAGCTCCAGTCCGCTACACGACTACAAAGATTAACGAGAAGCTACGAGTCTTACTAGGTATTTATCACACTGTGCGTGCAGCAGTTTGATGCAACATTTTATTATAACTGTGAAACTGCAGTACTACCGTCCCGGACTCCCAGTGTACATAATGTACACACATGTGTACGATTTTCAAAGCACCAACGATAGCATGATGTATATAGTTTCTGATTGTGTGAAAGTACTGAAATGGAAAATTGGTTAAAAACTATCATACGATACTTAGTAAAGATGCATCAGATTGAAAGATCTCAATCTCTTTGTCGCTCATTTGTGACAAGGCAAATAAGGCATCCTCAGAATAAAGAGGCGCTCCTCTTTCCCCGCTAAATCTATAAAAAAGTAATAATATTCAACGTGTTTCATCCTACTTCTTTTAACGTGTACCGTTGAAGATAAAGTATCTAAATTTATACCTTGACGAAGTCGCATAACTTCTTAGTGGTGCATTGTTTGCAAACGTGTAGCAAGACGAAGAATCGCCCAGGCAGAAATAAAATTGTTTTTTACTAATACTGAGTTAATAACCCTCGACACATACGTCCTTGATTTTTCGGCGGGGCCTAAACCGGACAAAGAGGACCCAGGCTCAGATACAGCTGCAGCCAAAAGTGTGTTTGTTGTACTTGATTTTTTACAATCGAAGACACTTAATTAAAGTATTCGCTAAGTTCAAGCTATCAAATCTAGGATCAACTCGGAATCGGGAGATATCTGACGTTTTTGGTCGAAACCCGAACCTGAGTGGTCAGACTTGGATTGTGATCTTTTTGGTCAACGTAATTGGAAGAAGATCTGAAGAGAGCTGACAACAACTTTAAACTTAATCAACTAGAGAGTTATTATGACTTTTAAGAGAAACCTAATTCTTCAAAAAAGTTTGATACCACCCCAGCCTGGTTAAATCTGTGCATGGTATCCAAAGCAGGGTTCTTCTTTGACGGTTTTGACAAGCAGTAGTGAATTTCTGTGCTAAAGTGGCACTCAAACAAAGAGCACATGAGAAAAACATTAATAAATAATTATTTGACATCCAAATTGCTTTATGACCGATGTGCTTAATCAAAGTTGTCATCGGCGGTCAAAACAAATGTGAGGCGCAAATTATTTATGGAACTGTAAACTGTAAAAATCTGCCCGAGCTTCGAAAACGTAAATTAGTGAGTACCTAGAGCATCTATACTTTTGATCGAAGCTGTATACACATGCTATATACGCCGCCAGATTCTCGGGCAAGCAGCGGGCGCATTATATTTTCAATGGATAATTATTGTTTACATCTCAAGGTGACCGGGCACCAGAGTATGTGAGCCTGTAAATACAGCCATATTTCTTTGGTGGGTGCCATGCCATGACTTGCCAGGTAGGATTTTCTTACCTGACTTCGATTTTAATGCACCTCTCCTTATTACCCACCGATTTGGATGGTATGTGATGGTACCATCTTTCATTATCTCATTTGGTACGAGTATTATTCTTGTCTTCTTGGTTTTAATGCTGGACTACACCACACCTCTTCCAACGCCGACGTGCTTTTAGCGTATAAGCTCCTTTTTCGTACCTAGTTATTCAACTGCTCACGTATGCGTTCATACTTTAAGAAGCTACAAGGCAAATCCTAAATTATGGAATACTACAGATTTTATGAACAACTGAGTTTGAATGGAATAATTTGGTCATAGTAGTTTTGAACTCTAAAGTTGTATAAGCCGAGTACCTGGCTTGGGGTGCTAAGGCCTGATTTTACTAAAAGGAGATCAACATTCTTGATCCGGATCATAATGGACCAGTGGGAAGGCATCTTTCTAGTAATGGATCTAATGCATATAGTTGATGTTTTCTAAAATATCTATTAAACTAGGGAAAAATATACGACTTGTGTAAGAAGGGCTTTTAGCGAAGTTGAGAATCGCCTTGAGTCCAAGCTCCTTGACGTCCTGAGGGTCCAAAGTAATGGACCTCAGTATAGTCTGCCTATAGTAGCTCAGAGCTTCACAGCGACACAAAACGTGCAGGTGGCGCCTTAACGTGTTATGGCCAAACAACAGTCCCACCAGCAACCTTAGGTTTTTTCTATCCAGAGATGAGCAGAAACGTCGATCCTTAGCACTGGACCCTTCAATGAGTTCCCGTGCCTGGCGGCGATGTCTGGAGATACTTCTCCATTTCCGAGAGGGTTGTCTTGCAATACACGTCTCCATTTTCCTCCTAGCTCTATGCGCGGTCACTCCTAAAGCTGGCTCAGGACCAACGAGCTTGCTGGCTGTTCCTGTCTTCGCCAGAGCGTCCGCCGTCTCATTGCCCCTTATCTCAGCATGCCCCGGTATCCACATTAACGATGCCGGATGCCTCGCTGCGAGGCAAAGAAGGGTTTAAGTATTGGCAATGATATTTTTATTAAAAGCCAGTATCCATATAACGTATGATGTACGGTTCTTGGAGAAAAGAAGGATGAAGGATTACAGGAAAATCTTTACTATACCTGAAACCAGGACATGAAATTGTTTAGCGAAGAGTCATGAGGCTGAAATCGAGGTTGTTCCACAAAATAGACGTTAGATTGGGCGTATTACACTCCATTTCGACACTTTTAATTAAATTGAGAAATAAATGTTATTAGGTTTAACTACTATGTGTTAACATAGCAAACATTCGTGAGCTAATACATATTATTCATGATCACTGATATTAGCTTGGCTGTACTACAAATGTATTAACTGTAAAGAGTAGACGGAAAACGAGTACTAGAGATGAGGCTGGGAGGACTTACTACTTACTTACTAGTAAGTTTTAGTAGTCCCAGAATCGTTATTATCGGAATATGAATTACCGACAAAGAAGCACAAGAAACAAATTTTTACATTTTACAGACCTTATATTATTACAGACCTTTCTTTTTGTTGTGTAATTTCTTATGTGGTTTCTATCATTTTTTCTGAAATTTTATAAAGCAGATTTTTGTAGCTAAACCAGTTAATATGGGAATTAGAGGCCCTTCTTGCACAACTTGTATATTTTTTCGCCGGTTTGATATATATATATATATATATATATATATATATATATATATATATATACGTATATATATATATATATATATATATATATATATATATATATATATATATATATATAGGGTGACTTTGAAGTTGAGTCATTAATTTTCAGATAATGATTGTAGAAGGAAGATAAACCAAAATATGTGTGTAAAAATAAAAAAAAATAAAAAAAAATTTACCTTGTTTTATAAAGTATCCTCCCGACAAGTATTTCAGTGCGGACCTGTATTTGATCGTGAGATCTTGGAGCACCGGCATGCCGTCCCATGTGAGGTCTTAAGTCACCTGATTCACG